CAGACTCAGCGCTCCGGGTCGCCCACAGACTCAGCGCTCCGGGTCGCCCACAGACTCAGCCCTCCGGGTCGCCCACAGACTCAGCCCTCCGGGTCGCCCAGACTCAGCGCTCCGGGTGGCGCTCCACGGCTGGCAGCGCACTGACTCCAGGGAGGGCGCATGGTTGGCCCGGCCAAGGGGTGACCTATAGGGGTTTGGAGCCAGGCTCAGCGCTTGACCCGCGTCCTCAGAAGGTGGCGGTCTGCAAGTGAGTCCTCCTCCCAGGCCCCGGGACCCAGACTGGACCACTTCTTCCCTTCTCCCCAGGCAGGTTGCAGGCTTGGGACGCCCGCCCCCCCCCCCTTTAAGCCACACTGTGCTGTGGGAGACACAACTGGCTTTAGTGTACTGTCTGTCTGGAAGTTCAAGCCTGGGCGCCGCAGTCCAGGCCCCACCTGCTGTCAGAACTTTCCAAAGATCATCACATCTCAGGACTGAGGAAGAAACCAAAGGAGAGATGGACGGGAGAGGAAGAAATACGCTTCTGAGGGTCCAGAAGAAGCTAATGTTGTTGGGGGAATGGGTCCTGGCACCCACCGACGAAAGATACAAATGTCTGTTGAACGAATGAGCACACAGTGACAGAAGTCAGAGAAGCCTTTTTTTGTTTGCTTTGTTTTGTTTTTTCGAGACAGGGTTTCTCTGTGTAGCTTTGCGCCTTTTCCTAGAACTCACTTGGTAGCCCAGGCTGGCCTCGAACTCACAGAGATCCTCCTGGCTCTGCCTCCCGAGTGCTGGGATTAAAGGCGTGCGCCACCACCGCCCTGCGCCTTTTTTTTTTTTTTTTTTTTTAAGATTTATTTATTTAATGTATATGTGTGCTCTATCAACTTATGCCAGAAGAGGGCATCAGATCCCACTCTAGATGGTTTTGAGCTACCAGGCGGTTGCTGGGAATTGAACTCCAGACCTCCGGACCTCTTAGCCGCTGAGCCATTGCTCCAGCCCCAGAGGAGTCCTTGAAGAACGCACAGGGCATGCTCTGCCCCGACCAAGTGTGCCATCCCTCCTCTAGGACGAAGCTGCCGGGGAGCGCTGCCTGCAAAGACTGAGTCCTGCCGCGAAGGGAGAAAGGAGACACTGGAGGTCAGGGCTAGGAGACGAGCCGGGGTGGGTGAAGCTCTGCGAAGACTTCAGGGCGCAGCGAGCCTTTCTATGAAGTGCGGTCTAGAGCCCTTGCTTCTTTTTAGTAATTAAAAAAAAAAGGTTATGTGTGTGGATGTTTTCCTTGCAAGCATGTCTGTGCACCATCTGAGCGACGGCCATGAGAGAAGAGGACATGGAGTTATAGACAGATGTGCGCCGCCATGTGGGTGCCAGGCGTCCAGCTGCGGGGGGGCCCGGAAGCACTGAGCCACCTCTCCAGCTACCCCGCCCAATCCAGGGCCTGGACAGCCGGTTTCTATGACAACAGCTTCCCTGCAGGTTTTCCTAAGGTAAAGGGGACTGCAATAGTCATCACGGTGACTGCAGCAGGTGACGGCATCCATGCTGAGTGCCCTCCCTTGTGACAAGGAATGCCAGAAGGTAAGCAGCCAACTGAGGAAATGGGCAGGGTCTGAGGATGGAACGCACGCTGTGACAGACAGGGAGGGCCACGGGAGCAGTTGATAACGATGGACTTGGACAGCAGTTTCTGTCGGGGAAGTCACTCAGAGAAACTGACCCTTGAGCTGAATGTTAATGAACGACCAGGTTCATAAGGAGGTAGGGAAGGATGGATGGATGGATGGATGGATGGATGGATGGATGGATGGATGGATGGACAAATGGAGACCCAGCTTTTCGCAGTAGCTGGGCCTCCACCCTCAAGGGCCCTTCACTCCAGGACCTTGCTTATTTTTGACAGCTTTGGAGGAAACATATGCCCCTTCCTGGGGCTTGGAGCAAATCTTCAACCCACCCTGGGAACAGTGCAGGCCTATACCCTGGTCAATGAGAATAAGGTAAGATGTGGTCTTGTCCAGTGTCCAGGGACCCATCCACTTTGCTCAGGATTTCTTTCCAAGCATCCTTCTAGAAACTGTCTCTCTACTGGCCTGGCTCCCCAGGTGGCCTCACCTGACACCCAGAACAGCAGAGCCCAGAACCCCAAAATCTGTGGGGCGTGGTATCTCAGCTGACTTTGCCTACACTTGCTGGAGCCTGGGTGTATGGGTGAGAGGTGGACAGTGAGCCAGTCCCGCCCTGAGATGATGGGATGTGGGGAGTGATGTGGTGCACAGACCCCCACTACAGCCCCTGTGCGACTCACGGGGTGTGCACCCTGCTCCCCTTCCTCTTCAGATATCTCAGGGTTCCTCCTGATCCGTAGTGTAAGTTCTGGAAGGTAGTGACAGTCCCCGATGGCTGACTAGGAAGAGGGAGCTCTTGTGTCCCAAGGTAGGGGAGACAGGACTGGAGGGTCCCTCAGCTGCACAGATTTAGTTCCGGAATGGCAGGGTGAGGTTCAAGAGCAAACCGGCTTTGGCTTTTTTTTTTTTTTAAGACTATGTAGCCCTGGCTGACCTAGAACTTGCTATGTAGATCAGGCTGGCCTTGAATTCGCAGAGGTCTGCATGCCTCTGTCTACCGAGTGTGGGGACTAAGGGTGCGCCACCATGCCCTGCCTGGAGGAGCTACCCACTTCCCACCCTGTCTGCTTCCTAGGCTGGGGCAGAGAGGGCATCATACCAGCCCTCCACCTGCTGTTTGCTGAAGGCGGAGCATTCCGAGGCTAGGACTCAGTCATGTCACCTGTCCATCTCAGGCCTCCCCTGTGCTAAGGATCAGCACACTGTCAACTGTCACTGAGCTGCTGAGCTGGCGGCCTCTGCCCCATGGTCAGGGTGGTGCACTGGGATCCGCAATCAGCCTGTAACCAGCAAAAAATGCCAATGTCTCTGTTGAGCGCCTTGTTCAAAACAGTGGGCCCCAAGGGTGGAGCTGGGGTTACTTCACCTGAAGAGAAGTTTCCAAGGGAAGGAGGCCAGGGCATTGTTCCATCCCATAGGTCCAAAGACCAGAGTACAAGTTGTGAGGATCCAGTTTCCTCAGCTGGGGACGACAGGAGTGCTTGGCAGTGGCCCTCACTCCTCACTGGCCCAGTTAGCTGAATTGTCAACAGGGTGTGCAGACAGACTTGGGGACAAGCTGGGGACAGACACAGGGTTTGGTTTGCTGCAGGAGACACTCTCTGTTCCTTGTGTGTGTGTGGGGTGGGGGCAGGTACCTTCGGGAGAGAAGCTGAGGAGGAAAACTGTGCACTGGAGTGCAGTTGTAAACCAGGCACCCCACCCACCTCCCAGGCAGTGGCAAGGCCTGGGGAAGCCGGGAGAGCCAGGGGCGCTCTGTGTGCATGGCACAGCACAGAAGGAAGGGGCTGCATTGGATGGGAGCCCCGGGTCATGCTGGCTGAGGCACAGAGAGAAGAGCTAGGTAGGCCTGAGGGGGCCCCCAAGCCTCACCCTCTGGGGCCTCTGCTCCCTACCCAGCCACTAGATGCCTGGGCATCTGGAAAATCTCACAATCAGCCAGAGAGTAGAAAAAATACCTTTTTATTAATTATTAGGAATAAATCATTCATTTAATGCAGGGTGTGTGTCGGGGTGAGCTAAGCGTTTCCACGTGGACAAAGGGAAACGTGCAGGACAGTGGTCGGAGGGGACATCCCCACTGCCCAGACCATAGACAGCAAACATGAACAGAGAGAATCACGAAGTGCCCCCTCACGTCCCCTCCCATCTTGTCCTTCCAGCAGAGTCTAAACAGGGTCCCTAGAGGTGCCAGGGCATCTGGAAGTGCTGGGCCGGGAGCGGGGTGCAGTGTGTGGCTTCAAAGTTGTGTAGGTGCTTCCGGGCCTGAGGAGGAAAGGCAGAGCGTGGGTGCGGGGCAACCCCTCGGAACCCTCCGCCACTGTAGGACCCCGCGCCCAAGGCCTGCATGGCCCCTCCATTCAGGCCCCCCCTTCACCCCACTCCTGCGCTCACCAGGAACAGCGCCAGCTGCCTCCGTCCATCGGTACTCATGTCCTCCCCTGCGGAGGAGAAAAGGCCTCAAGTCCACCATCGGGTCCGCCCTCCCCCTCTCACCCCGCCATGCCGCCGACCGGCCGGGGGAGGCCTCCTTACCCACACTCCAGGGGAAGTCGGGCCCATGCTCTGCCTGGTAGGAGTGAAGCACGGACAGACACCAGTCCTCCTCCACCTCCCACCGGCTGTAAACTGAGGCTGGTCAGGGAGAAACAGGAGTGTGGGCCACAGCCCTCCTCACCCCCCCCCCCCCCCCCCCACCCCCCCCCCCCCCCCCCCCCCCCGTGCCGTCTCAGCACCGAGGTGTGTCCACCCCCAGCCCTCACCTCACTCCCCCCACTCCACCCCACCCCGGTGCCGTCTCAGCACCAAGGTGTGTCCATCCCCAGCCCTCACCCCCCCATTCCCCCCCCACCCCCAGTGCCGTCTCAGCACCGAGGTGTGTCCACCCCCAGCTCTCACCGGAACTGCAGGAGCTTCAGCAGGAGGTCATTGCCTCTGTTGGACATGATGTCCTCAGGAACCCTGGGGGCAACAAGCGTTACCTGCTTAGGGGAGCTGGGGAACAAGAGTCTGGGGACCTAGGGACACGGTGGGCACAGGTGGAGGGGAAGGAGGCCAGGCACTCACGTGGTGGTGATTATCTCATCCTTGGTTCTCCGGATCAGCAGCACTGGGCCCTGGAACCTTCAGGACAGAGCAGCAGGAGAGGAGAGCTCAGAGACAGCCAGGCCACCACTGAGCAGAGCGAGAGATTGAAGAAGGGTGCAGGCCCAGACTGGCCCCGGGGAAGGCCCCTGCGGAGCCAGGCTTAACCCTCATTGCCAGATCACCAGTGAGGAGACCCGGGGTCTCACAGGACCTGGGAAGGGTTGGACCAGCGAAGGTGGTGGCAGAGTGACTTGGGACATGGGCCGGTGGCCACTTCCGCTCTTCCCCTCGGCACATCTCCACACCCAGGCGCCCGCGGCCTGCCCTCACCTGCACAGCTGCTCCGAGTTGTTGAGGTTGAGGTGCTGTCTCACCGTCCTGGTCACCAGGACTCCTGGAGTGGGACAAGTGAGGGCGGCAGAGGTGAAGACCCCGCCTAACAAAAGGCTGGCCCGTCCATGGGGCCGGACCTCGTCAGAAGAGCCCCTGGGCTGGCCACCCTCCCCTGGAAGGACAGACATGGGCGCTGCACTCACTCCAGCTGTCCGGCATGACCTTCAAGGCCAAGGGCACCAAGTCATCGAAGGAGGCGTCCAGGATGACAGCACTGATGTCTGGGTAGGACATGGCTGCCCACGTGGCTGGGAGAACGGGAGGGGACGAGGGACGCTCAGAGGTGCAGATAGGCGCCTCTCACTTGGGTCCCTCTTACCCACTCAGCCTTTCCCCGGAAGCCTCCACCCCCACCGCCTGTGCCCACATCTCCTAGGCAGGGACAGGACTCCGTAAGGGGATTAGCTGGGGCGGCAGCAGGTACCGGTGAAACCTCCGATGGACCAGGCGTAGATGACAATGTCCTGGGGCTGGAAGCCCAGGCGGTGGATGGCAAACTGAACTACCACATCCATGGCGTTGGCCTCATTTTGTGGGAACGGCACCCCCTGCAGGAAGACGGGCAGATGCGGGACGGGTCAGCCAGAGGACAGCTCACCTATCAGGCAGCCACCCTGTAACACAGAGATTCGTGACCCCCTGTGTCCCTCTGCCTGTCATGGGAGGAGGGGCTGCAGCCCCCAGGGCTTCCCGGAACCCAGGTCACGGCCACGTGGAAGGCAGGCCGCACACGGGCACCCCAGGTCACGGCCA